TGTGTGTGTGTGTGTGTGTGTGTGTGTGTGTGTGTGTGTGTGTGTGTATTTAATCTTATCTCGGAAGGCAGGTGAAGAAATTTTTATTAAGGTGTGCACATATCTTACAGGCAGAAGGAAATACAAGAATTTGATAACTCATTGCCCCTGTTTTCAAGTCCAGTAGAAATAATGATATATCCTATAAGACTTTACTCCAACAGAGATAGATATAAGATTTAGTGTTACATGAAAGGCAGTATGTCATATCAGATGAAGAGTTGGCCTTAGACTCAAGAAGACCTGAGTTCAACTCTCATCTATGATACATGTTGGCTCTGTGATCCTAGGCAGGTACTCCAGGCAAATCTCTAAAACTATATATTGCAGAGAAGGTGAGAACCTGTGTTGCAAGAGAAATTTCCTTCCCAGGACATCTCTATATTGATTAAATCACAGGTCTTGTAAAAAGAAAATTCATAAGTGATGTTAGAGAAGAAAACCTATGTGAGATATGCAGAGAAAAGTGGTACTAACAGAAGGGATCAAAGAAGCCTTTCTAAATTAAGTACAATTTGAACAGTACTTTAAAGAATGAATAGGAATTCAAGGAGGATAAATAAAGAGAGAATAGAGAATATTATTTTAACAAAGGCACATAGGTATGACAATTGGATTCAGGTTTTAAGGACAGAGAACAGTCCAGTTTAGATGGAGTATAATTTGCATAAAGAGGAGTAGAGAGAAATGAGATTGGAATGAAAGTATGGCATGAGATAATAGTAGGCCTTGAATCCCAGGAAAGCAGTTTGAATTTTATTCCTAGGGATTAGGGAGCCACTGAATGATTTTTGAGCAGAGTAATGACATGATTAAATCTATGCATAAGGGAGATTAGTGACAATAGTATAAAGAAGCAAATATCCTAATTTTCAAAAAAAGGGAAGAGAACAGTATTGCAAGAGATATTATATATATAAAGCATATGTAAACCTTAAAGAACTATATAAATATAAGTTGCCATTAATATTATGTTATCCTTGTGACACCTAATGGGGAGATCTAAGTTGGACCATTGGTAGTTGGAAGTGGTGGGAGAGCTGCCAGTCAACAAGCATATACTAAGCATTTACTATGTGCCAAGGACTATACTAATTACTGGGAATGCAAATTAGTAGAAAGTCATTTCTTGGCCTCAAAGAGCTTACCTTCTCATGGGGGGAAGATGGTATATAAAAGTAACCCTTTTATTGACATAAAAGGAAGGAAGGAAGGAGATACCTGGTGCAGGGGTGGGTGTGGTAGAGAAAGACCCAAGGGCTCCCTAGAGAAGAATGAGATATGGCTAGCTTAAGCACCCTATTTAAATGGCGGTGATGGAAAGAGCTGTCCAATCAGAAGAGGTCACGGAACAGAAGAACTGAAACAAAGAGTAGCCATTAATGTGTCCATGCCAGGTTAAAGACAGGTATCTAAGGGATATATGTACCTAGGAATCTCTTAGCCTTGCACTATTCAAAGTTTTTTTGTTTTTTTTTTTTTTAATCAATGACTCAGATAAAGGCTTATCTTATTTACAGATGACCTGAAGCTAGGAAAGATAGTGAACACATTGATTACCCAACAACATCAACAACCAAAAAGATTCTAACAGCATAGAATGATGGGCAAAATCTTAGAAAAAGCTTATTATGAAAAAAATAGAATTCTACCCTTGGATTTGAAAGAATCCATTTCATAAGGACAAAATGTGAGAAGATGGCTGGACTACAATTTTTGTAAAATTAGCTGAGGATTTCAGTATAAGTCCACAGTGTGACATGGCAGCCAAAATAAACTAATGTCATCCTAAACTTTCTTAATACAGGAATAGTATCCAGACCTAAGAAGGTCATAGTCCTACTTGTATATTCTTTCTTGCTTAGTCCACAGCTGAAGTGTTGGGTTCATTTCTGGACATTATATTTTAAGAAGGGCATAGACAAGCTGAATTGCATCCCTAGAGAATGCAGTCAGGATGGCAAGAGGGCTGGAGACCATGCCAAACAGAGATTATTTGAGTCTGGTGATGTTTAGCCTGGATAAGAGATGGAAAGAAGACATGATAACTGCTTTCTTCAACTATTTGAAGGATTATCATAGGGAGGAGGTATTTAAACTAGTTCTGCTTGGCCCAAGTAGCAGCAATAGATAAAAGTTACAGAGCTAGAGGTTCCAGTCAAATTTTCCATGCAGGATTTAGAATCAGCTTATACCAGCTCACAAGAGCCCATTGTTAAATTTTCAGCATTTACACCATGGAATTCAGCAAAAGCTACAAAACAAGACTTGGTTCATTGTTTTGTTAATTTTCTCGACTTGAGCAAGTGATGGAGAAAATGTTAAATTAACTCCAAAATGTGTCATTTATTTTCAGAGGGCCAGTTGTTAAACATTTACCAGTATACCCCTGGTTCCAGCTGAATGTAAGGAAATAACTCCTAGAAAGAAGAGCTGTCAAAAATGATGATGATGATGATGAAGAAGAAGAAGATAAATAGAACGGGCTACTTCAGAAGTTAATAGGTTTCTTCTCACTAGAGGTCTTTCAGTAAGGAAGTGTATGTTGTGGAGGAGTTTCTATTTAGGCATTGGTAGGACTAGATGACCTTTCAGCCTCTTCTGAGATCCATAATGTTGAAAAAACTGTATGGGAATGTTATTAGCAGTGGGAACAGAAATTACAGGACCACAGATTTAAAACTGGAAGGAACCTCAGATGCCGTCTAGTGCTACCTGTCCTGTTACAAAAGGAGGAAGTTGAAGCCCAGTGATGCTTTCCATTGTATTATGCTGCTTCTCAGGGAGCTGGGTACAAGAGCCATGGAGAGGGTAAAAGACTCTGCAGAGTCTTTTACCTTTTCTAAGCTAGTTCCAAAAAATGGTGGCTGATAGCTGAGTCCTTCAGATAGATACACAGAAGTCAGAGTATTTTTTTTTTCCGTAAGGGCCAATGACTGCAATAGTAGCAATTTCTGTGGAATTTTAAGATGTGTAAAGAATTTTCCTCACAACAACCCTACAGAGAAAGGAAAGGAGCAATTATTAAGTGCAGGGCTATGTGCTTAACGAATATTGTCGTATTTGATCTTTAAAACAACCCTGGGAGATGATACTATTATACCTATTTTAGAGTTGAGAAAACTGAGACAGAAGGAGGTTAAGTGACTTACCTAGAATCACACTTTTAAGAGTCTCTGAGGTCAGATTTGAACTCAGGTCTTCCTGACTTTAGGCCCACTGTTCTATCCACTGAACTAACTAGTTGCAGTAACAAGTTTTATTCCCCATTTTGCAAATGGGGAAACTGAGGTTCAGAGAAGTTCCTTGACATTAACCCAGCTCACACTGCTGCTAAGTGATAGTCAGAACTCAAGCCTAGCTCCTCTCACTCCAAGCCCAGTGTTCTCTCCACTGTTCCATACTGCTTCTCCCAAGGAAGGAAGCACTAAAGAGCAGGAATGCACAAAACATTCCTGTTTGTCTTTAAAGTATCTGCCAATTAATCTTTATATGCAAGAAGCCTTTATATCTAAGAAGCCTAATAAGTAAACTCCTCCCAT